CCAGCATCCGTGTCAATAAGGACGACATCCTTGGTTTGCGCAAATAGAACGTGCTGTCTGCCCTGATGTGCCAGCGAAGGTGTGCTAGATATCAGATTATCAAGTTATGCTAATAGAAGCTGTTCATCGTGTTAACGTTGTCTGCGACGTCGACTCGGATTTTGAGAGGAAACTCTCGTAGTTCCACATACGCATCCATTTGCTTGGGGAGTTTGAAGCCATACAAGTATCTTCAATCGTACACCGGTCAGTACACGCGCTGCAATTTGGTTTGTTCTCCTACCGTTCAGCACGAAGGCTGGGTTCAACTCATAGGTAGGATATCTGCAAAGTCGGGTGATGATCAGCCCACCTCGTCCTGCTAAAATCAATCTTCGCTAGTATATCGGTTAGTACACGCGCCTGTCACCAATCCAAATCGCGCGAAAGCTGGGTTCGACTCCCAGGCGAAGAGTACTTATGCAGTTTTTTTTGACGTCAGTTCCGAGAGACAGAGTCGGACAATGTTATTGTAGTAGTATTTTTGTCGCTGACGTGCGGTGGTGGTCATGATACCGTGGGTTTATGGAGACAGAAACATACAAAATTGCAGAGCCAGTGAAGACAAATAACAGCCTTTCGCAATCGCTAGACCCAGCCACTTCGCATCTTCAAGTTCAGCAGTCACATTCTTTAGGAATCACCATAAAAAAAAGAGCACGGTTGAGAGAGAGTGAGCTTCTGGCTCTTATCAAGGCAGGCAAGAGTCTTCAAGCAGGTTGGTAAACCATGAAATGGAATTTTGTGGATGATGGTTGAAAGAAAAGGGCCGATTGATGGATGACAAATCTACTTACGCGTTCAGAGTTGTTCTCTCATGACCTCGAGGACAACCTGTTTTCTTACGCGTCGCGCCGTGTATGTCATTCGATTAGCCACAATGAAACCATAACTTTGAACGCTGCTTCCGCGTGTGCATCGCCTTCCCATTCAATATCAATCCTCATTATCATTCAACTACTGTGCCATGGGCTCTCGTCACTTCCCACTTACAATTTGATTTACTCGCCGAGAAGATTCAAAGGACAGGTGTGTGTGGTGATCGTAGATCGAGGTTGTGGGCTAGACTTATGGCTTGTCCTAGTTGGCATTCTCGGCTTTGGATTGTTGACCATGAAGGTGCGTTTTCGTACCCGCCTTGACTCGATTCTCAGGCTGACATTCTTGCCAAACGACAGGAATATCCTCGTTGGCTTTGCTTCTGTCTGCCGCTGTGACAAAGCTCTTTGCAATCTTGCTTACCTTCGCCGCAAATTGACGGACTCTGGAAGTGAGGGATGCGATGAGCTTTTGGAAAGAGAGTCTCGGATAGATGGGAGAGGAGCGCGCGTGAGGGTTTTGGACTCAAAGAGGCCTTCGTGCCCTTCTGCATCGCCTCCTTCATCGAAAACTTGGTCAAGTGCGTATGATCCCTTCAATTTGACATAATCTTCCAGCTCATATGGCCCTTTCAGCTACAGGGGTCCTCAAATTTCACCTCTAACGGACAAACTCGCACCAAGAACTCCCTCCTTGTATCCAGTATCTACGGTGTCGTCAAAGTAATTTCTCACAAGTCTCGTCTCTATTTTCCAGACCTCTATAATTTCTAGGTTACTGTCGCCTCCCTTTTTGTCTTCTTCTTCGTCAAATCCCTCAGTCCTCGTATTTTCCTTTCATCTCTTCCTTCAGCATGGGTGCCCTTCTTATTATCATTGCCACCCTCCTCAACACTCATCCCCCACCTACTACCGTCAGTGCCACTCCTACCCCCCGCGTCAAAGACCATGGCTGACATGCTCAACATTTACGTACGTTTCTACTTGATGGGTTGGATCCCAGGGCGTATGACCGACGACAACGCATCGAGGTCAAGTGTATTTCTAAATGCTAAGGTGGACGATGGCATGTCAGTCCTGAGACTCTCTATGCATATGGTCCACCACCACCGACACAAGGAGAAAGTGTCAGTTCAGACCTCGGTGGAGAGTTTGAACGCGAATGCAAATCAGAGGCTCCGAGGTTCGGCTCTCGGACAGAAAGCGTACTCGTTCTGCTGAACTCGAGGGTCCAACATGATTGCCTGCTTTTGATGAAGATGAGGTCGACCAGGATATGATGACATCTTGTTTAGGGTTTTTTTTTTCGATGGTTCGTGGTAGATTTCCTCAGGCGGAAAGGACATCGACCTCTCTCCAGATAGAATGACCGAATTGTACCTGTGGATACGCCTCAATAGCCCGGGCTCGAAGGCAATAACAATCCGAACCCATCATTTTCACCCTTCAATTTGAATTGGGCACATGTTCATCTCAGGATCTCGAGCACTATGCTCTGCCAACTCTCTCGATTTTCAAGTTCCCACACGATGTTCATCCATAAGCATCGATACGGATTCGACTCTAAACCTCGTCCCCCATCGTATGTTCAAGGGCGTCCACCCGACCGTCACACACCCAATACTAGCTTATATCCCGTCGATATGTCAATAACTTCAAATTCTACGATCGGGAGGCCTAGCAATAAATCTCGACTCACAACTCCAACGTTGTGGGCGGAAATAAGCGGCCGGTCGTCTGCAGCCTACACCACCTCCGACTTCCTCACATCTTTGTCGCTCGCCATTCGACACAACTCCCACTCGAGATCCCACCTCTTGTATCACCAAGATTTTAGCAGCGCAGTTGCCTCGAGCCTCGCCGAATCGCAAACGTAAAGCAAACTATGGTGTCCTGCCCAAGCTGTGCTGCATAATTTCAAAAGCTGAAGCCTTTGACTGGGTGAGTTTGGATCGAATTGAGAGCCTGCCATATGGGTACTGTCCCTACACGTTTTTTTCCCATTGACATTCAATTCTACTCGAATCCGGGGTCACTCCTTTGCTTCACAGCCCTACCTTACCCACTTCGCCTATCGTAACGTTTGAGCGGAAAGTGGTTTATCTGGAAGGCGGATGGAGCCATGTCAACATT